GGACTCGAAGCGGACGTTCTGGCTGCGGGGGCGCGTCCATGCAAGCTGGAAAAAGGAACTGCTTAGACTTAAAGCTGCTGCAAAGTAGTCCTGACAGCTCCAAAGCTAAGCAAAGCAAAGCTAAAAAGAAAAGTGAGCTGCGAAAGCTTTGTTGCTGCTGTGGTGTCCCGCTCGAGCAGCTGTAGGCGACGACGGGACAGGACTTTACCAAAACCCTCCTGAGTAAACACAGTGACCGTGTATATATGTATATATATATATATGTGTGTATGTATGTATGCGTTTATTTGCTTACCTGCTTATTTATGTGTAATCATCTATTTGTTTACATACTCGTTTACTTGTTTGTATATATATATGTATACATCTTATATGTATACATCCGCGCGTGTCAAAAAATACCTGTGTGTGCATATATGCATATATATATACATACATATATATGTACCTATGTATATATATATACATATATATATATATCTCTCTCTCTCTCTCTCCCTCTCTCTCTCAGTCAAAAGCGATCGTTAACGTTCGGACACTGACTGAGCAGCAGATGCTCACTCCCTTAATATCCTTTAATGCGACCGCGACACATGGAGTTAGCCCACTCCAAATGATCAAGGTCGGAGCCAAAAATATATGGGCACGATCAGACCCAAAAGCATAGAATCATCGATCCAACTGTTCGTGCGAACATTCGTTCCTCGAGCTGGCGCGATCACGCACGCAGCTTCAGCACGATAGATCGAAGCATCCACACATTTCCTAGGCCCCACATGCCGATAGGGAGCACGAGCTTCTGGTGGATCTGTGCGGTAGAGGACCCGGCGGCCAAACCACTCCACAAATACAAATCAGTCGTCTGATCAACAATGGTTGTGGTCGATCGGCGCACTTCGCACAAATTAGCTCAAGTGCTAGATACCGAAATTCCAGAAACCTAAGAGGACATCTTGCCATTCGCATGGTCCTTGATTAAGGGACGCGTTCAGATCGCCGAAAAACCGATGCTAAGATCATCGAGCTAGCTTGATCTTCAATGCCGTAGCCGAACGTCTATCTCACATTGGGCTCGATCTACCGGCTCAGGCGCCGATCACTTCCGGGATCGCTAACACGCGCGGGTGGGCGACGATGGAATATAGACCAAGTGGATATTGGCGTCCCTGGCAGCCTCCATGACCTTTGCAGGCAAGTGGCATGGAGCTTGATCAAGTGTACCTGGCAAACCATGGAGCCAGAGGGGTTCCCCAATGTTGGATGATCTCTCCCATGCACTCGAAATTTGCAGTGTTCCATGCACTCTTGCGGCGCCATACTTTCAGACGGCTCACAGGTCACAGGTAGCGTGGCCACCTGTCGCTGTAAAGTCTTCGTTAGCTTACTCTCATTCACGATCAGGAAATGTGGTAAGCATGCTTGAACTCCTGCATTGTCGGCAATGATGGCCACATATTTCGCCGCGCCACGAGTTTCTGATTTTTTGACCCGGATGGATGGCTCCAAACCTCGGTCATTCCAGTGCCTCCGTGAGACAACCGTTCCGGAACACGGCCGACCCAGAAATACAAAACCCTGATCGCCGGCCGACAGCTTCAACGGCCACCGCGCAAAATCACGGCCAAATCTTGCCGACTCTACTCCACAGTAGGCTCGGCCCTAATCCCAATCTGAGGACCATACGTCGGAGCCATCACCCAAGGCCTGTCTTTGTTCAACTCGGACTGAAGAGACGGGGTGACCGCCGCCGACGTCCGAGAGAACCTCATGTCGGCCCATCTGATCACGAGCTGTCGGGAACCTCCTGAGCTCCTTTGCCCTGTGCCAGCTCGACCGATGATCGAAGACACGCTGTTCTGCTTAGCGGGCGTCCTAACCTGAGACACCCCCCATGATCGTCGGGGGACCTGGCGACGGTCCCCATTGCGGGCGCGATGGCAAGGCATAACGACGGACGAAGGACATGGGCTGCACACGTAGCTTCGAACGAGCTCTGAATTGGAAGTTCCCTTCGACCGTCATTAAGAACGCGTTGGTTCCTGCAGGGCTGAACAGTCTGGATCAGAGATCAGCCAGGTGTCAGGAACAAGCAAAGATCCATGCGGTTGTTCGCATCCCTGAACCTGAACTCGATGCGATCGGCACCGTTAATCACCCACCATCACAGAACCGCCGGGCCGATGGAGTAGGATCTTCTCCGAGACCCGAACGAAGCCACGGCGCGCGGCCTGAACCAGCCCTCATATTCGCCGACCTGATCAGCACCTCATCGCGGAACTGCAGGCGCGACCGACCTGTCCCGTCCATGGTGACGGCGAAGTCGATAGCATTCCGCGCGTTCTCCTCCGCCGCCACGCTGCTGGTCCCAAGATCCAGTCCAATCGTCTTGGCGCCGAAACAATCCGAAATGCGGGATCTGTCCAGTCGGAGGGAACGACATGGCCGGGAGGATCAGCTCGAATGTGCCCACGCTAAAATGGCCACGGCGATTCGCGCTTGATCCGCTGCTTTAACGAACGTCTAGACTGACCCCTAAATTCCAACCTGCCTAGCCGTTAATTAAAGAACATAAATATAGTCACCTGCATATCTGTCACCGTGTTATTTGTGTGTGTGTGTGTGTCTGTCGACTACGGTGATGAAGTGTTTGTGCACGTATGCATGCATGCATGTATGTATGTATGTATGCATGCATGCCAGATTACATTACTCGAAGGCTGAGCCGCCCGCAAACGCTAGCCTGCAATGTGTACTTTCTGCTGAGCACCACACCAAAAAGTACGCATCACTACGCCAAGGCGCAGCAGGCTGGAGATGCCCAAGCCAGTGAAGTAACCGTAAAGCACCCACTTTCGCGGCAGAGCCAAGCCAGCCAGGAGACCAAACAAATCACCGGGTATCTCGGCGAAGGCACCCCTTGTAAGCTCGAGAACAGGGCTTTCCCGTGTCTCTTTCAGCAGTTGTGGTAGCAGTTGGGGAAAGGCTGTAAATGCTCCGTAAATCGTGAGATTGTAGGAAAAACACACCAAGCAGAGAACAGCTGTTGAGAGGCTGATGATCTTGGGCAGTTGCTTCCAGACAGAAGCCGATGCCGTGCCACTCGTCTCTTGGACACTCTCAAAGTCTATGTCGACATCGGGGCGTCCGTTGCGCTTCCGCATGGCGTCTAGCGTGTCCAGTGCTTCCTCACGCTTGCCTGTAGCGGCCGAGAAAGCTGGAGACTCCCGCAGAAGAGCCCACGCAATCAGCCAAAAAATGAAAGCTGGGATGGCGTTGGCCATCAACATTCGTCTCCAGTTCAGCTGTTGCAAACTAGGATCATCGAGCCACATGACCTGAGATTGACCCGCAGGTCCAAGGAGCTCAAACAGGTTTGGGCAGGGTGTGTTCTTTGCAAGGTCTTCGAAGAGCCTGAAGCTCTCTCAAATGCTTCTCCTGCCGAGTGCTGTCTTGGCGAAAACGCCGGGATGTCTGCTCTAATATACTGTTTCAGCTATCGCAGTTCCAGCTCCCAAGCCCGTGGAGCTGCTTGGCTGTGCCGGCATTTGCTGCCATAGGACCTAGCCTCTTTCTTCTGACACTGCGAGCACTTTACAAGCGTCCACTCTTTCCTGCTAAGTTGGCCTACAACCGTGGCTGCATGGATAATGACAGCTTGGCACTGAGTCTCATGTCCATCGCCAGCATAGAAGTCGCACACGCATCTTCGCACGCAAGAGTTCAGAAATGGATACGACGGCAACTGAGGAAAGCGCGAAGCAGCAGTACAGCTCTCCCATTGCAAAGGCCGTTTGTGCCAGCCCTTGGTTCAAGGCTCTGGAGTGGACCGGCGAGATTTCCATCAGGATCGCCACAGCACTGGGCTGTCCCGTGCCAAACCCCACCCCGACGAAGAACCGGAGCGGCAAGAGCATCCAGAAGCTCGAGGCCTCGGATGCCACTCAGAGATACTCAGGCCGTGAAAACACACGGAAACGCCAAGGAGCTCCTGCACTTGCCAGACTGAGCAGCGCCACCATTGGAAAGCCTTGCATGGAGATGGCCGCAGAAGGCCGTTGCACCGATTTCTGCTTCTCCCTACGGGTTGCAAGACTTGACGCTTATGCCTTGGGCTAACCACAGCTGATTCCAACACCAGGCTCCATTTCTGTTGTACCGAATTCGGTGGAGATCTCATGAGACCTCCATGGCAATCCCATCATGTTGTCGACTAGAAACTTGAAGTCTAGAGTTGAGTCTGCGAATGACAGGCACGTGTTGACTTGGTGCCACGTCACAAACCAGCACAGCATGCCGGCGTCCCAGCGTGTCGCCCAAAATGCCACTGAGAATGTTCCCAACAAGGACGCCCAAGTAGACGACTGACCTCGTTGCAACTGTCACGCCTTCTCTGCAAGACGAGTATATGGCTGCCATTCACCTACGAGTAGATATGAGGTGATTTTGAGGGCTCCAGCAACTGTAGACAAGCGCCATGCATCGTCCGAGGCGCAGTAACCAGCCACGCTGGATTGCAGTGAGATCCCATTCAGCTGACAAGGTGGTCGAGATTGAACTCAAAACCAGCAGCTCTGCTCCATCTGCCAACCACGCGCCGTTCACGATAAAGCTGGTAAATAACTGACTCTGACCATAGCCGATGTCCTCGATCACAGCGGAAATGGTTCTGGGCCCGGGCCCTGCTTTGGCCATCGTAAAGAAGTCTGCGGTATCGAATAGGTCGAAACTCAACTCGCACTGCCCATCAGAGAGGATGGAAGGAAGGACGCCATTCTTCAAGCCAACTCACGGCTGCAAAGGCACTCTGCATCTTACTGCCTCTCAGACAACGCTCGGCCGGTTGGGCCCCATTTCCCCTTTGGGCCCTGGCCTCTGCGCCGTTTGCCACGGAAGGCGTGGAAACAGCAGGGCCGAGCCCAAGACTGCCTTGGCTCGTGGCGGCTCAGAGAACGGGCGACCCTTCCCGTCCTGGCTTGTCTGCTACAGGCTCGCTACAAGCTGAGAGTGGGGCGAGAGCCACCACCGGCGCACGACACATGACATCTGCACTTGCACCAGGCAGGCCATCAACCTTAGAGTGGGGGCTAGGTGCGGATAGGTGACGTCGTTTTGGGATCCAGACACCTGCAACCTCCTGGAGCCTCATAGCCCAAGCCCGATTCACGGCATGCTTTTGACACCTAATGATAGCTAAGGCACGCTGCTGGCTTGGCACATCCAACAGGCTGCGGCTAGCTGATGCTCGCTTGTCTGTCTTCAGGCTCGGGTTCTGCAGGCCTTGCATACTTTACACATGCTGCTCAAAAGCTAGACGTAGCGTCTGGGTCTTGATCTGCGAACTCAAAAGACGACATTGTCAAGTAAATGCCGCTTCTTCCTTTAGAGGTCCTTTCAACTATGTGGAGATTCTGCTCTGCAGGACTGCAGCAGCGTACGGCGAGAATGCAAGGCTCACAACAAACCTCGGAGCGGAAAATGTATGCCTTTTTGCATCATGGTTCGGATTCTGAGCGTCTGAAGCGATATCTTTTCTTCGTGCTCCTGCCACACAGAAGATATTGCCAGACGGGGAATCAATTGCACTCTCTTGCTGCTACTGCTGCTGCTACTCCTACTCGTACTCCGGGTGCTACTCCTATGCTCCTCCTACGCCTACTCCTCTGCTCCTGCGGCCCCTCCTCAACCTCTTACTTGTTCTTCAACTGCTCCTGCCACACCTACTCCTACTCCGACTCCAACTCCGACTCCTAATACTAGTACTACTACTAGTACCACTACTACTAGTACTACTAATAGTACTACTAGTACTTACTAGTACTACGAGCACTACTAGCGTTACAGTGTTACTACTACTACTACTACTACTACTACTACTTACTACTCATTACTCACTACACCAGCTGTCTTTTCGGACACAGTGGCGTTTACAACATGTCCCACTCCCGCACCGCCTTCGCCCAAGAAACCTGTGCTGTCATGATTACGACTACGACAATAGCCACCCTAGCCAGTAGCTGCAAAGAGGAGCGGATGTGTCCTGGTCGAAGACACAGGACTTTTGGGCGTTTCATCCCAGGCGCAAGCACGCAGCAGATCCTCTCTTGGAAGCGCATGGGGCCTCGTGCCAGGTCCGGCAATGTCATGCAAGCTTGCTGACAGCTGCATCCGTGCAGATGCCTATATGTCAGTAGGAGCTCTATCTCGGTGGCCGGCACATTCTGCTCTGGAGGGAGGAGTTGCTCAGGGGGCAGAACATCCTTTTTCTCGAAGAGGTTGACAAATGCCTGCAAGACCGTTGCAACTGGGTGTGGTCGGACCTGCCTACAACTTGAGCTTGCTAAAACGACATCTGGAGACACTCACGTAAGCAAAGGAAGCAGTCACATAAACACTAAAATCCGCTTTGCTGCAGGAGATAACCCTTGATAAGCGGCAACGAAACTACCGATAATCGCGGAAGTGTCCTATCACTCTTATGATCAAGTTGAAGGACTGTCGGGAATTCTCAGTCTGCAGAACATCTGGTAAATTAGTGATGTCCAGAATGCCTGCGGATCGAAGAGTGACGACCTCCTACCCCTAGTCAAGTCGTCATGGCGCGTTCAACTTTCCACAAGTCCCCGTGGTCCCATGGTCTCACGGTCCTGACGCCCTCAGGCTGAGCACAAGACTGAGCGATGCAAACAAGAATATTGAAACATCTCGGACACCTCAAGCCTGAAATCCACAGATGATAAGGGAGCAATAGCACCTAGTAGTGTCGTCCTCGTAAAGTTGACACTCGGGTCAGGGGTGTCGGATGGAACACCAATGGACGAACCATACAGCGCATTCCAGTGCCAAATGCCTCGAAACTGATCTCGCCGTTGCTGTCGAGAGCCACTTTGGACTCTTCCCTACCAGCCAGCAGAAGCTGGCAATCAACACACTTGTGGCTGGAAAGGTCATATGAGCTGCGAAAGACTTGACATTCCTGAAGTCAGCTGGGTGACAACAGTTCCTCCACGCTACCGTCCTCGAGTGACTCTTTGAGAACCAGCTGAACCTGGTCAGAAAAGTCAAAGGCACGAGGAATGCGAGAGCCCACTACAACATGTCAAAAGATTCTGCAGGCTTTAGCATTTTGAGCGGACATGCTCTCATCAGAGAGTCTTCTGAAACTTGCTCGGCTGTTGTTGCGAAGCTGCATCCTCTTTGATCAAGTCAATTAGATTCGATGTTGACACCGGGTCCCGGTATGTCCTGAAATGGTTTCATCGGTTTTTTGGAATTCTACCTCTCGCTGCTTCTAACTTTGTTCGTCATGCAGTCTTGAGCTGAAGGGTGCAGACGAAGTAAGTCTTGCAAGCTGGACAAAGCACTCGTGCCGCTCCTGCCTCATGCATACTGATAGTGCCGGAGCGATCTCGGTCAAAGCGATTGAAAATCTTGCGGAGAACTTCACGCCTGGGCAGAGGTCGACAGGAACTCGCTTGCCTTTCTATGGTATTGGACAAGCTGCCGTAGCTGCCAGCGGACGCTCGCTGTTGCAGCCAGGAAGTCCTTGGGCAAACATCATCCGTTTAGACACATGTTTAGACTCTTCCCTTCCTTCTAAGAGAACTTTCGCCTGGGCATCTGCCGGTTCTTCGACAGTAGGCGAAGGAGGCTCTGCTCATCTGTTGCAGCACGTAAAACACATTTTCCCACCGACTTTTCGCTTGGATGCTCTTGGAACCCTCAACGAAGTACTCGGAAGAGCCGGTCAAGAGGTTCCGCTGTATATCCACTGCAGTACCGGACATTCCATTTCAATTGAAGCATGCCTAGGCACACCGGCCAAAGGGCAGGAGAACAAGGCACAACGGGCCACCAAAGGTATTATGTCTAAGATGCACTTTAGCATGCAGCCAAATGCCCGGAATGCTGGCATAAAGCTCGCGAGAGTTCTCCCACAGAGTTCTTGAGAGCAATCGGATACATGGTAACGGCTGGTTGCGGAATGGACAACGAATGCTGACTTCAACGTGCGAGCGAAACGGAGCGGGAGCGATGCTGGGGGTTGCCACGCACCGAGCCCTGCTTTCCGATCGAGGCGATGCACTCGAGCCAACGTAGGCACAGTTCACCAGAGTTGGGTTTTCCAACGTAAGTTCCGAACGGAGTAGTAGACCTCCTCGTCTCCATTGGCATCCAACACCGAGAAAATCTGCTCTGCCTGCCAAACCAGAACTTTTCGAGATCTTGAAGGGGTAGAGCTGCGACTTCTGCCAAGGCTTGGTTTGGGCATCTGCCTCGTCTGCTGGAGGCGAAACCAGAAAAGGAGCCGTCTCCCTCAGCAGAGACCGTGTCACTACATGCGGCTTTACAAAACACGTGCACTCCAGTTTGACACATGGCAAGTGACTGTCGAAGCCGACGGCGATGTGAAGCCTTAGGCACAACTGCGGCTGACGGCATTGGAAACCCGGTCGTCTAGAATTCTGAAACAGCCTCCCGTGTGTCCGCAGGCTCACAAACGCGCACACACACACACACACCACGCACCCCCCCACCCACCCACCCACCCACCCAGCCGCCCCCCTCCCACCCACCCACCCACCCACCCACCCACCCACCCACCCACCCACCCACCCACCCACCCGCGCACGCACGCACGCACGCACGCACGCACGCACGCACGCACGCACGCACTTACGCGTGCAGCTTCAATCGGGGTCTGTTACATTCGTGGAAGCACTGAATTGTCTGGTCGTGAGGGTGGCAAGCAGACGGAGAAGGATCCCATCACTCACGATGACTTGGCACCTAGCTAAGGCACACACACCATTTACACAGGATAAGGGTTTTCACCTATGATTCTATAGGCGTGAGATATACCAAGATTTGTCCCTGTTGAAAGTACTGTTTATCGAATTTGCCCAGTTTCAAGAGTTGCATTCGTCGTATTCACTTCGGCTGCAGTTATCGTCAGTCAGATCGCCTTTCACCCATCTCCAACTCCAACCCCTTCACCAAGCACCCCTCATGGGACTGTCCACAAGCCCCAGTGTTATTCGAAGGGAGTGCTGTCAGGAGCCAAATGGAATCGGATGCGTGCAGAGATGTACTGAGCAACTTGGTTGAGCCCGGAAGTGTGCTGGGGTTGCTGGCTCTGCAGTCCGACCGTGGCCCTCAGGCAGAAGGTCTGAGCTTGCAACGCGCATCTTGGGACTGAGCAAATGCTCCGTCCACCTGCCGGGTGCTGAAATCGCGAACTTCCAGCTTGCACCAGCATGAGCATAAGCATCGTCCTCCTGCCTGTCGTGACTCAGCCGCACATCCCCCACAGCTTCTCAAGTTGTTTAAGGATATCATGAAAACGTTGTTCTGTATCTTCTCCATGTCTGGAAGCGTATGCACCTCCAGTTCAAATCAACCCTGAAGAACAGTCTTAGTCATTCGAGAAGTCGGTGCCTTGCATTCGTGGGAGATTGATTTTTGGCCTGAGCATCACACACGAACCAACGGGGCACGGCTGCAGCAAGGCACGAAGAAGTAGGCTTAAAGGCTTGGAATGGCCGTTGTGCCGTCGAGGCGCACGTCGCGAGTGACGGCGCATAGCATCCTCATGGCCCATATGTGCATTCCGATGCATTCCGGGTCATCAGAAGATGCAATGCTATCTGCACTGCGTAGATGCTGCGTGCAGATGTTTGCCATGCTCGAATGCCAGTGCAAAGGCACAGATATCTATCCATCTATACATACATACATACATACATACATACATACATACATACAGACATACATACATACATTCATACATTCATACATACATACATACATACATACATACATATATAATATATATCTATATCTATATATATATATGTATATATATATACACATATATGATGTATCCTCCTGTGTCGCCGTGATCGGCCGCGGGCCTTCAAGTCGCAAAGCCGGATGGTTCCCCGAGCGTCCTTGCTGCGCACGACACTATCCCGTGCCACGGATCCGCAAACGCTGAGACTTCGACAGAGTCGAGTTTCATGAACAGCTCACCTTGGCCGGACCCTCCCTTAACGTTCTGCCTTCCATGCCTTCCGCAAGCGCTGCGAGGTCCCAGCGCATCTCGCTGACCTCCTCCGGGGCAAGCTCCTGGGCCAAGAGCTGCCTTGGAAAGGGTTCTTGAAGTGACTCTTCCGCCTCTAGACAAATGCTCGCAGACTGTACCCCCGAAGAAATGACAGCTCCAAATCTGCATGCGGCAGAAGCAGGCGCTGCATCTTCGACTTGGAAGAATACCTGAAGAAATACGCGCGAAGGGCTCGCACACAGGAACACTTGACTCGGCACTTGCAAGCTCGGCAAACATACCAGCCGAAGTACTGTTGCAGTGACACCAACACGGAGGGATCCAACTTCGGCTCTGCGACGTCCGCAAACTGCAGGGGCACCGTGGTCTCACGTGGGATGCAACAATCAGGTTGTCGCAGCCGGAATTGGAGCATGTTATGAGACAGCTCTGATGCTGCAACAGATGTCAACTCGGCAACCATGTTCAACAGTTGAAGATCTAACTAGTTTGATTCCGTGCGCTGGAAGTGCCGAGTCCCAAAGCTCTAGCGTAGCTTGCGATCGCCGATGGACATGAAACTAGCAAACTTGCAACCCAAGGCGCCGTTTTGGTAAGCCAAGGGTGCTGAAGGGCAGTTTCTGCCTGAGTCTGCAACGGCTGCACGGTTCATTCTTCCCTTTATTCGCACACTATTCAACAGACTGACGATCATCTGGACGAGTAGATTCAAGCATTCAAATAGATACCAAGCCACCGTCATGCGCTGGGCGGGGTTGACAACTAGAAGTTTCTGCACGAAGTCTCTCCTCGGCATTCAACAAGCCCCGAAACCGCTTGGTGATACCTGCTGACCCACTCTCCCGCTGCTCAACCCGCTCTCACTGACATTTTGACTCCTGAGATAATGGCTTCAAAAGCTGCTTGCAACTCACTGCACGCACCAGCATGTTTGTGATTCTTTGCGCAAGCTTCGCGTGCTCGGAGACAGTGTGAAGCCGGTCCCACTTCACCAGGCCCCTCTCAATGTCTTTGCCTTAGTCAGGATCTCTTGTGCTCACTGAACGTGAAGCAGGCCCGCAACTCTTACTATTCACCAGCAGCTCGTGCTCCGTGGACACGAATACACATGCTCGAGCGTAGGAGTCCAGCAGGTAAGCAAATCCCTCTCAGGCGTGGCTTCGACTTCGACAACCGTGCTTCTTCGGAATGTGCCAGAGGTCTACGGTCTTCCGACAGCAAAAAAACGACACCTGATTTGACAGTTCGCGCTGACACGCCGGCTCTTTGCCCCGACACCCCTCGCGATCCGCTCCCTGCAACACGCGGAAACATATTTGGGGGTTCGGAACGGTCCAAACCAATTTGGGTGCATGATCTTGTGTTCCCAACTGCCTGGCCTATGCTCCGTACCGGTGTCCTCGCCACCCCCCCCCTCTGGCTTCAATGTCTGTCCGGTCCTTCGGCTTGATCTTCGGTTTTCGAGTTTCAGAAGTCTGGTTGTGTTGGCTTTTCCGGCGTCGGCCCTGAGACGTTTGATCTGACTCTTGCCTGGTATGATAATGCTGTCATAATCTGGCATAGACAACCGTTCCCCTTGAACCACAGGACGATGTCCGTGGTCTGGACCTCTCGCCCGACACAGAGCGGCATCCCACATTTAGCGAACAAGTGGCGCATGCCCTCAAATCCTCTTGAGGTGCTCCATGGAGGCCGACCCGCAAGAAGCATGAAGACCTCGACCACAAACATGTCTTCCGTTGCTGTCTGAGAGTTTCGGGGCAATGGTCATGACTGCGTGACAGTTTGCGCAACATCGGCCAAAGTTGAACCCAAACAAAGAGGCGTTGAGCGTGCCGAGATCCAGTCTGTCGTCTTGTCAAAGGAATGTATAGCATTTTATGTAACGGCCTGTACATCTTCCTTCCCAGGCGAAGGGTGCACTAGCAATGCGAGCTGAGTCGCCACAACACCCAAGCTCCAGAGGTCCTGAAGAGCCATGGCTAGACTTGCTGCAAGCTGCGAGGCCAACGGGAAAGGGCTAAGGCATAGGTTAATGGAACGAAACGCTCAAGTCAGCCAAGGTGCACATTGGCTGGTGTATTCCTGCACCAGACTGCGGTTAGTGTTTTAGTTACCGGCAATCCTGGCATCCTCGAAATTTCATGACTTCTACGAATCGGGGTTAGGGTTTTCACTTCTAAGCACGCCTGTGCAAGCCTTGTTCCATGCTCGCATTGCCGTTCTCTGCAGATTTGGGCTTGTCCGCCTGTTTACCGCACGACTACTTCCAAACGTCTGGGACAACATTGAACTTCAGCCAACCTGTAAATATCGGAACCTTTCCGAAGGTTTGTGGTGCAAACATGACCGAAGTGAAAGACGGAGCCAAGTCTGAAAATCTGCCCGGTGCCAGCCGTTTTTCTGTGCCTGGGTACAACCCAGCAGCGTCATTCCCAGATTCCCAGGCCTTGCCACTGATGACATCTGGGCTGCAGAACTCCAGGGTGCCGACAGAAGCTTTCATTTTCATGTCAGCATCCTGAGCGCGTGAGGAAAAGCCCTTCTACTGCAAGGTTCATGAAACCATTGCAACATCATGCAGCCTTGCGGCCCCCTACGACCCCTGCGGGCCCCTACTGCTGCAGGCCCTGCGCTGAAGCGTAGCCTCTTTTCCAAGCGTCTTCCAGGGTTTCGCAAAGCCCGAAGTCAATCAGCTTCAGGAGGGCATCTTTCTCTGCTGATTCCTTGATACTTGGCAGTGCAGCTATCGGTTTGAGTGGAGCCAGACACCCAGCACACTTGCCTGCAGGCTCGGAAAACGTGAGCTGATGCATGCCACGCTGTCGCTCTCTGTTGCGTACCACAAGCTGCCGGAACTACAGCGCTTCCAAGCCAAAAGGGACATATATATATATATATCAGTACACGTGCAAACCAGTGTCGTAGAGGAAGTTCTGGAGCTTCCTCAAGAAGCAGCATGTTGCACTGCACAAGCACGCTTTCAACTCTTCGGAGCGAGATTCAGATCGCGGTGGACGATGCTGTGTGCATGAAGATAGTTGACAGCTTGGAGCATCTGGGACGTTGCCTGCATAAAGAGACACTCGCATCACGGCAAAAACGGCTCGACAACTTGCTCGACGGCTCACGCTGGTTTGCCATGCCGAATTTAATGGTGGCCGAACCCTCTAAAAAGGTACGATGCCTCTGCAGCAGCCGCTTCGTCGTAGACCTCTTGAGCCTCCAGGCGCTGTAACAGCTCCCCGCCGGAGCAGTACCTTCCAATGATTGCATTATAGACGAATCTCGAGTGCTAATGCCAACAAAAGGCTCCATAATGAGTGCAATGCCATCCTCCCATTCGTAGACATCGCTCCTAGCATGACTGGCTGGGCTGAAATTGCTGCAAGCCCAGAGGTGATTTGCACTGCGTTGTCATGGAATGTCATGAAGAGCGTAGCATTGGGACTCAGGTGGCGGCAGTTGCGCGATGTTTGGATGGTCCACCGTCAGAAAGACTTCGCATTCCTTCTTCAGGTGTCTGTACCGGCCTGTTCAGAACAATCTGTCGCTTAAAGTCGCTTGCGTCCGATCAAGCTTCTCACACATTCCGTGCCTTCGGTCAGTCCGTTCTTGTCAAAAGTCTTCAAAGCATGTTTGCGTCCGTCGACTTTGCCTGAAAAGACGAATCATCACTTACTTACTCAGCACAACACACGGACATGAGCTGGAAATGGAAGCTACGAGCCAGTTCGCCAGCCTCTCGTCGGTCTACATCATCACATTGCAGTGCCAAGCCACTTGTCACGAGCTGGATACTGCCTGACATCCCGCTTCCAAGGATCTCATCCTGGCCAGCCCCGAAGCTGACTGCCTTCCCGCTAGCCTTGCGTTACGTGGCGCTGATGAACAAGCCTGAAGCTCGTAGTCGTCTTCCAGCCTGAGAGATGTCAGGGTGAAAAGCGGGAAAATCACATTAATGCACATTGACACGCAGCGAAGAGCAAAGGGGAGAAGCAGAAAGCACGCAACGCTTCTGGCCTGCGACCTCCAACCTCATGGTACCGGATAAGGGCTGCAGGCGGGTTGGGAGCGCGTCGGCCTGAGTGTCCCAGCCATGCACACAGTGGAAGACTGCGACGCATACAATTGAAAAGGAACGCGCCCGCCCCCAATTTTCTGCTCGCCAAGGCTCTAACTGCCCTGACCTCTGCAAGAGTGGACTTGGACCCTGTCCGCTTCGAATCCCAGCAACGACTGCGCTACTATTTGCAGACCGGTAGCAGACACCGCCGTTCTCTTCTCTCCATGCCAAAGGGGGCACAGTCCCTCGCAGAAATCGACGGGAATGCCTCAAGCAAGGCCAGGATGGCAGAGTTGTTTTCTTCGTGAGGTGTGGACATGAAGCTTTGCTACTTCTACAAGGGGTTGAGACGCTGACAGGTCAGATTGCAAAATGCAGTCAAGTATACGACTATACCAATACACGTCACCTGATTGGGCGGGCAAGAGCTGGCATGATAAGGATTCGTGTTTCGGCTCCATGTCCAGCCTGTGACCTGGGTCTTCTTCTACACTTGCTTAGATTTCGAAAGAGACGCTTACCCGAGCTTCCGGCAGCGCTGTGACCCTTACGCAAATTTCCCTTTACTTTGGCTTCAGGCTTCACAGCTTTGAATTATAGTTAGCTGCAGCCTTTCAAGAGTTCCAGGCGCGTTGTCGGCATGGCACGTCATTACGATAGGACTTTGCAAACTGTGTCAGGGAGTCGGCCTGAAAAACTGAGGCAGCCAGAAATGTCAGAAAACCGTCGGAGAGAAACCTGAAACTTGAGAAGCATGGTGCTTGAACTCGCTCGCTTCGCGAACTTGTGTTACGTGATTATTTCTGCTAAGACGTACCCTTGCCAAGCGACAGCAGCACCATCTCTGGAGTTGCATCTCATGGCAGTCAGACTGCAGATGCCACTGGACCGATTTGACTAGCCCGTCAGGCTCGCAACAAACAACACACCCTGGAGTTGGAAAGCGCCAATGTAGCTGCCGACAAGAACCAAACAGGAAACAGAAGGACGCAGATTCTGAAGACAAAAAAACCGCGGACATGTCAGGGGCAAAAGGTAGGCTTAGCCGTAGACTGAGTGCTGCATGCAGATGCGTTAGCAGGTTGCACTGTCACCGAAATTCGGTTCTGCTGTCGTGCATGAGCCAAAAGAGTGAAAAGCGCGCGGACGGCAAGGTCGAAGGTCTCGAGGGCCCTAAACCCTAAACCCTAAACCCTAAACCCTAAACCCTAAACCCTAAACCGTCTGCATCTCCTCTTCGCTGTGCCATGCAGCGCTTCCATTCACTGGAGCGACTGGACGTAAACGACGTCGTCAGCATCTACGACAGACTTTCGACCCACACTGCTTTGTTTTCCGATGGATGCAGTCGCCTGAGGACGGTCATCTTGTGCCTGGCAGATTTCACGCAACACCACAAGATGTTGCAGCCCTCGTGCAAGCATGGCGTCAAAGCCTACAGCCACACTGGGACGAATAATGGTGCCACGACCACTTTGACCTCAGCCAAACTGAAACGAGGTGAAGAGGCAGTGAAATGCCAGTGCCATCTGCTTGCTACCCAGCAGCAAAGGCGAGTGAACGAAAACCAGACTGTCTTGCCCATGTCATAGTCATGCAGGACCTTCACATGTCGATTTCAAGCATGTATGAGGCATTCCAGGAACCTTTCCCGTGACGGAAACAGCATTGTGCTCCAGTCGAGCTGCTGTTTTTGTCCCCACCACGCATAAACAAAAGAGAGACAATGCCAGAACGGTGGTGACCGAAAGCCTCGTGATGCAATCAGCATGACGGGGGAATACAAACAAGGCAGATGGAAGCTTGTTCAACAGCAAGGCTCTCAACCATTGCCCTAGATCACTGTCGCCGAGGACTGTCATGTGCCACCAGGATGCGTAATGAAGGAGTAGCGTCTGCGCTTGCGGATAAATACCTGCAGGGTCCCAGCCTGGGACTGAAATGGAGCACGTCATAGGCACCGACACCACCAAGCCGAAGAGCACAGGGGAACGCCCAGCTCTCAGGTTCAACACGGAAAGCTCAGCTCCACTGTGGTCCACTGTCTGCATTTTCTGCTCTGTGGTAGCAACTTCGATTTCGATTTCTCTGCGCATTTTCAGAACCCAGGGAGCTCCTCGCAGGCCGTCTGACCCAGGTACGTGGCCAGGACAGCCACAACACCATACCACAAGGCATAGTGCCAAACGATCCTTAGGAGGAAGGAGCGCGCGACTCGGTCTGAGTGGCCAGAAGCCTCAGAAGCCGCGAGTCTGTCCCATCATGAAGTACTGGATAGTGGCGAGGGAGCTTGACCTCGGGCCAGCGGCCGGGGCTGCCGAAGCGGCTGTGACGAGGGGTTCCGGTTATTCGCTCGGAGGCCGGCAGAAAGACGAAACTGGCAACGGTTGCCTCCACAGGCACAAACACTCCAGGAACCGTCTCCGGTCTCCTACTCTGTCTGCATGATGTGGGGTCTGCGGCTTCCGTGACAGTCCCCTGAAGCAGTGATACAGCTGGTCGTCCTGAACAGCCTCGCTGTGCATCCCCACCTTGGCGGCTAGTGTGGGATGCGAACGGCTTCGAGACTTCGGCTCAATAAGCGGCAACATCTGCATGCTGAAGGCATCTGGTTCAGTCTGACCTATTGCACCTCTGCAAGTTGCGTCCGCGACTAGTCTGCTGAAAACATGCAAAGCTGGCAAACCACAGCAGCACTTCACGCACTACACCTTCACGCAGTGCTAGTTAAAGTTTCTCATGATCCCGCCTCAATCAAGACTGGACTCAGCAAGATGCCGCCACCAAGGCCTGCACGCCGACAGGTGTCACTGAAGGCGACATGCCACAACCGATGCAAGCCCCACACAAAAGCTGAGCCGGATTGGGGCGCGGGCCCAGCATGGCACCCAAAAAGCCGGTGCCTGCTGGGCGACGACTTCCAGTCATGGCTCGGGAGATCTGTCAATTGTGCGGACAGCGCTGGCGGTACCCAATGGAGGCTGCCGAAGGCATCCCCGACATGCAATTTGACCCATCTTTGCTTCCTTAAGCATACGCCTCCCCCCCCCTCCCGCCCCACATCTATACACCAAATCCAATTGTTCAATAATGTCGTGTTCAGGCACTCTTTCTCGATACTCAAACACCACATCACGCTATCCCCCACACACACACACACACACCCGACAATGGGTGGAGACTTTTTTTTGGCCTTTTTTTTTGGGGG